GCATTCCTGGTTGAAAGCAACTGTCAGAACTATCAATTTATTACTATGGGTTTAAGATCTCAAAAATTACCTCTTTTGTAGATCCTAAAACTTACAAAATATAAAGAGAAAGGGATTTTAAAAAATAGGACAGAGGGAAAGTTGAACGAAACAGCTTCCCTTTAGCACTCAGAAGCAGAAGTAAGGATAAGAAGGTAGTCAACACTTTGCTTTATATCAGAGTTTAGCTCTAATTGCAACTATTTGGTTTTAATTTCTTATTCAATAATTAACTTCTTGGATTAAAATGACAGTACTCATTTGTATAAATCAACACTCAACTTGTCATAAGAATACATTAGTTCCCAGCATCTCGAAGCCTTTTAAATAATTGTTTCAGTATCCCCTTATTAATTTCCAGGCTAAGACAAGACCTCAGATTATTTTTACTCCCTTTCTCATACAGAGTGGAATGAAATCTACTTACCTTCAAATAGCTCACAGTCTTGTGGGAGAGAGGCAAGTAAACAGAAAATTACTACATATGATGATTTATCTTCTAACAATAAAAACAAGTAGATTTTTAAGTGCTTCTCATGTATCAACACTGAGCTAAATGCTTTAAGTATCTTATCTCATTTCTTTCTCAAACACTCTATATGGAACACAACATTTTTTATATATGTTTTGCAGAAGGAAACTGAGGCTCAGAAATAATGTCAGAGGGTGCAAATGTGTGGCAGAAAGGCTTCAAACTGGAACTGAGACAGGAGTAGAAGTAGAAGTTATAATCAAAGCCAAGCCTTTGTTATTAGGCATCGGGTTCACGGTCTGTCTGAAAAACTATCCAATAGACAGTTTACTAATGTGAGAACCCATTTTTCCCATCTTTCGTTTATTTTTCATCGTCGTGAGGAAACAGTTGTTTCTGCATCACTGACTTTTAGCTATTAGAGAGTTTCCTCCCTCTGATGTCTCTAACAGCCATTTTGATTCATTGTAGCCCAGCATTTTGCTCTCGCAATAGAGCATGTGTAGATAGTTTTTCGGGAAGGTGCATAAAATAGAATTTTGGTTTCTCAAAGTAAATGTTGTTACTTCCTTTTTAGTTGCTTCTTTCTCTATTTTCAGTTGGAAAAAGCGAACTGTTTAGAAAGGGATGTTAATCTATCTCACTTAGGAGGAGGTACGAGCCTGCATGCCAGGACAGGGATGGGGGCCTGTAGGGATGACACTAATGCTCGTCCGTTTCTGGCTGGTGATATCTGCACTTTCCCCTGGGGAAACTAGAGAGCTTCATCCATGCAACGCTTTCAACAGCATGGAAATATGTGACCTAAAACTTAACACTTCATCATTCCCAGCCTTCTTATTCACAGTCACTATAATTGCCGAATCCTTTCTAACCGACTACAGAGAAGAGAGAATTGTTAAGTGGCTAGAGGGAGACTGTGACATGTCTGAGCTGAGAATAGATGCAAGGAAAATCCCAGCTGTCTTCTTTTTCTTCCCAATGGCTGCTGCAACTGAGAATGTGCTAATTCTTTGACTTCAGTCCCCTATAACTTTCTGTTTTGTTTATTCACTGGAAAAGGTAAGCTTTGCTTTTTCCCTGCTATATAACACCAACTGCCATAAGAAAGTGTAAAATTCTTAGCACATCCTAAATTGTTCTACTATTTCCTGCCACTGTGGAACTTTTGCAAAGTGTGATCTGTGCATCTTAGAAACAGAGAAGGAGCCACTGGGGTACTTACTGTCTTCAGTGTGGCCTATATCTTTGCTCTGAGCTACAGTAGATGGTCTTCAGGGAGCATATACCCAGTGCAATTTGGACGAAGAGTGTTCAGTTAATCAAAAACTAAGTTAATTGGAGAATAATTTTAAAAATGTGCCTCCATATACTGATATATTTTATTTTAACTTAAATGTAAAAATATACATTCACTTACCCATTTTTTTTAAATGTAAGGCCAAACCCTGGAATTCTGGGTCAGTGGTTCTTTCAAAAAACTTTCCCGTAATGAAATGCATCAAATTTCTAGCTTTTGTTTTTGTTTTTTTTTTTTTAAACTAGAGCAAGTAAGACACATGCAGAGCAATGTAAGTTAAAAATCCTCTAATGTTTTATCATTTGTCCTAGTCTTTTAGAGTTGTCACAACAACACATAATTCAAAAGCTTTTTTTATAGTGATTAACTTTCATTGAGCAAACCTAAATATTTAAATTAGGTTTTATAAAAAGGATGAAACAAAAAACCTCTTTCCCCACTATTTATGAAACATTATAAATCTTATCATTATAATAGCAGAACTGGCATAAACAGATTTGAAACCAAACACGATTGGCTTTGGTAAATAACTCAATTGGCAGGGACAAGTAGTAGTATACAGATACATTTAATGCTTTTAGTACACCCTGGACATCAATATATTTTAATGAAGGAATGGAGAACACTAATTCATATGGTAAGTTGGTTAAAGGAGAACACATCTGTAGCTATAATTCTATATAGTCGATATATATTAAATTTGAAAGGAAATAAAAGTTTTTTAAATTCTAATAATCTGTCTTGAGAAAATAAGGATTGCTGTGATTAGTTCGCTGCTTTCCTCATATGTCCTCTTAATGTAGAGAAAACCTTTATGAATGAATACTTCTATTAACCAGAATGTTTCTTTCTGAAACATCAGAGTATCTCCTGTTATTACTGGAGGTTGTGTCTTGCAAAATTAATGTGCACAAGACAGATTGGGAGCTTGCTCCAATGAAGATTCATTGGGCTGGCTCTCAGATATTTTAATTCGTGTGGAGCCAGAATTTTTTTTTTTTTCCAATCAGAGCTCCAGTGATTATGAGCACTTTAAGAAATACTTAAAGCTGGGTTCTTTAAGAAACGCTTCCCTGAAACTCAACCAAATTACCTACAAGTATTACGTTCTAAGGTTACTTCTCTGTCATTACAAATTGCTATAGTTTTCATTTTCTTTCTTCCTTCCTTTCCTTCCCTCCTTCCTTCCTTCCTTCCTTCCTTCCTTCCTTCCTTCCTTCCTTCCTTCCTTCCTTCCTTCCTTCCACTTCCTTCCTTCCTTCCTTCCTTCCTTCCTTCCTTCCTTCTTTTTTCTTTGAATTTCAACAGAACGTATGGAATTCCCAGTATATGCCAGCATTCCACTAGTCTTTGAGGATTCACAAATACAGCACAGTTCTCTCCTCAAGGAGCTCATAGTCTGCTCAGTAAGACAAACATGTAGATCGAGAATTACCTCGAACTTCAAGCATTACCAAGGAATCCTTCTCTGAGGCAGTTGTGAATATACAAAATCTAGGATGCCAGCAGTTTCTTAGAGTTCTTTATTTTCCTGTCACTAACATCTCCGATGTTAAGAATTGGCTTTCTTTGGGATACAACTTTTTTTTTCTCCCACAAAGAAACTATTTTGAACACTTAACAACCGTGACTGGAGTTGCCCTAACGCGAACAATAGAGCAGTATTGAGATTCAGGTGCAGAGCAGCCAACTAGGTTCACTCACTAGGTCTTCTGCCTTGAAATGCAAATCCATGCCGGTGAAGCATTTACATGATTATAGTTCTGGATTTACAGGTTTGTTAATTGGTATTTAAAAATGAGAATGTTATGAACATAGAGAATGTTATGAACATCTATCTTTTCAAATTAGTGTTTCGGATTTCTTTGGATAAATATCCAGAAATGGAATTGCTGGGTCATATGGTAGTTTTATATTTAATTTTTTGAGGAATCTCCATATTGTTTTCCATAGTGGCTGCACTAATTTACAATCCCACAAACAGTGCATGATGGTTCCCTTTTCTCCACATCCTTAACAATTCTTGTTGTTTGTTGATTTATTGAAGACGGCCATCACATTGCAGTTTTAATTTTCATTTCCCTGATGATTAGTGATATTGAGCTTCTTCTCTCTTTTTTTTTTGGTATGTCTATTAGCCATCTGTATGTCCTCTTTGCAGAAATGTCTATTCAGATCTTCTGCCCATTTCTTAATTTTTCTTGAGATTATTAAGTTGTATGAGTCCCTTATATACGTTGGATATTTAAGCCCCTATCAGATATATTATTGGCAAATATCTTCTGAAATAAATCAGACAGAGGAAAGACAAATACCACATGATTTCATTTATATGTGGAATCTAAAAAATAAAATAGATGGACAAACAAAACAGAAACAAGCTACGGATACAGAGAACAAATTGATAGTCGCCAAATAGGAGGGGTGAAAAAGGGGAAGGGGGTTAAGAAGTAGAAATTGCCAGTTATAAAAATAGTCATGAGGAAGTAAAGTACAGCATAGGGAATATATTCAATAATGTTGTAATAATTATATATGCTATCAGATGGGTACTCGACTTATCGGGTTCTTCGCTTAGTAAGGTATATAAATGTCTAATCACTATGAAACTAAACACCTGAAACTAATATAATATTGTAATGTCAATTGTAATTAAAAAGTAAATTTTTTAAAAATGAAAATGTTAAAGCTAGAAAAGCCAAAGAGCTAATAATCTGTTTAAGTTATTATCTGAGCATAATTTGACTTCTAAATAATAATGGAAACACAAACAATAATATCATTAAGTAATTTGCCCGATACTATGCTGATACTATTCATTGGAAAATATTTAAATTATATTCAAAATATTTCATTACCTAGAATTTTACAAAAAATTTCAAAAGCTACCTGTGATAGAGGAGTGTTCGCTGGTTAAAGCTGTTGATCAGATTCACTTATCCAAAAACATTTCATCTACACAGATGTGAAAATCAGGTTTTACTGTAATGAGAATTAGATGTAAGCCTCAATGCAGGGAGCCACAGCAGAAAAATATTGAGAAAATAATTGGAAAAAAGTATATAAAAATAGGAAGGAAATACCTTTACTTTTAAAAATGTTTTATTATTATTTGGAACATAGTTTAATATTGAACATGAAAAGAATTTATCTCTGAAGTAACAGCTGCATCTCTGTCTTCTTTCACAGGGTTTTGGAAACCCTTCTGGTGAATATTGGCTGGGGAATGAGTTTATTTTCGCCATAACTAGTCAGAGGCAGTACACACTGAGAATCGAGTTAATGGACTGGGAAGGAAACCGAGCCTATTCACAATATGACAGATTCCACATAGGAAATGAAAAACAAAACTACAGGTAAGTCCTCCTTCCATGTAGTGCTCAACTACCTTGGGCCTAGGCACGTAATAGTTTTAGTGGAAAAGTTTATAAAAAAGAAATGACGAAAGCCATCCTTCAAATTGAAAATCAGTTTGTCTAGGCCTTTTAGAAAGAGATATAAAATACCCTGTAAAGACTTCTTAAAAGCTTTAAGTATCAATTATTACAGACAGATTGTCTTGATGTTGGCTCAAAGTCCAGAAGATAGGGAATTAAGTCAAACACAAAATTATTGTTGTTGCTATTGGATTTTTATTATTGTTATTATTATGAAATAGTGGATTCATACATATAAAGCCGATGACAGAGAATTGACTCAAACTCAGTGACTTGAAATAAGTACTCAAAATATTACCTACTTATACTTACTTTATTTGCCTTTCTTAAATTATTATTTTCCACATTATCTTGAAGGTAATAAAAGATGGGTAAAATTCTACAATTTTGAATGATTGACATAAAAGTTAAGGTGAGGCATAATTTAGAACGTTTTGGTAAATAATGTAAAAGACATAAATAAATCCAAATAATGGCAACAGTATAAACAAAACATCATTGCAGATGTAAAAATAGACACTCTGTTTACTTAATTGTAAACATCTCTGATTTTTTTTCAATGAGCAGCTTACGTTAAAAATGGCTAAGCAAGTAATATGGCGTGGTAAATTCATTTCACACTTACTGTGTTACTCCTGTGTTCCGGGAACTCTACTGTGCACTAGTGATCTTGCAGGCAGTGATGAGATCGCTGGTCCCCGAGACCTCACAGTCCAGTTTTGTTGCTAACTAGGCCACTAAACATCTGGTTCGCATTCCGTGAGAACAGGAAATACATTTTAGTTACTTTTATATCACTACCTGTTGATGCAATACCTGCCACATAGCAGGTCTTACTAACTGTGTGTGCCTCAGTTTCATAATCAGTAAATTATAGTGGCAATAATTTTAAACTCTCGATAGTGTGGCTACTCTATATCGGTAATGGAAACACAATTGTGTGCATTAAAAGATTATCACATTGCTGCAAGGAAAATGCAGTGACAGTAACAAAAGCCTTCTGGTTTTTCTTTTTTTCCAACCTGTGTGGCCATCTCCTCATAGTCAACTGTTTTGGCTGCTTATTTGTCTTTTTGATATATACCAGTCTTTAGGACTTTAAATCTACAACTTTTTCATGAACACATTCCATTTTATTTTAGTGGGTTATGTATGAGATTGGATCCTTGGAGACATAATAATCATTTTCTTAACAAACAGTGATGATGTCACCACAACAGAGAATGAGAAATAGATCTAAAGAGTTCATAGTCTCATGGGGTGGGGGTAGGGGCATGAGGTTGTACATAATGGCAACTCAAGAAACCAAAGAAGAGACATTTATAAAATGCAATGGAGTGTAAGAAGAAATGTTTCCAAGGAGGTCAATATTTTGAGAGTTTTATAACAAGAAAAACCACTGTAAAACATCAGGGGTACTCTTATGTAAATGTTTTGACCTGAAACTTGAAACTATATGAAACTTGGCTAATATCAGACGGCCTGACAATAGGACTAGCAAATAATTAGTCTAGTCTTTTTCTAGGCTCCTGAAGAATTTTCTTTGGTTTCTTTCCAAAATGTCCCTCAGTTCTTGTGTGTGTGTGTGTGTGTGTGTGTGCACGCGTGTGCCCGCGCGCATGCATGCATGTGTTTGCGAGGGTAGAATGGTATTAAGGGGACAAAGAGTGTTTGGGCAGGTTTAGGAGGATTGCGGGCATCTGAGGTAGACTTCAGG